AATGCATTTTGTGCTGTCTAATAGCAGTACAAAACGCATATTGTCATGGGGTTGTCTCTGTGTGTGTATGTGTGTGTGTGTGCGTGCGTGTGTGTGTGTGTGTGTACCCACAGCAACTTGTCCGCAGCTTCCAACTCGGGAACCACAAAAACTAGGAGGCTCAAAATTTAAGGGAATTTTCCCCACCCACGTGTGATCCCACAAATTTAAATTTAGCCTCCCCGTACGCGCGGGTAACACTCACGGGCCCGTAAAAGTTTCAACGGGGAAAATTGTTATCTCGGGAATCACGGAAGCTATAAAGCTGAAATTTCATGGGCATGTCCCCTGCCCACGTGCTATTCAGAAAATTTAAGCTCAGCCTTCTCGTACCCGCGGGTAACATATGTGGTCCCATGGAACTTTTGGCGGGCAAATTCTTATCTCGGAAGTCGCGGAATCTAGGAAGCTGAAATTTTGGGGAACTGTTCTCTTCCCACGTGCAATCCCTCAGATTTAAATTCTGAGCAGTGGAAATTGTTAGCAGCAATTGTTCAGTGAACGGAATTGCACAAAACGCATGATCGCACCAGCTGCCTTGGTGCGCGCCGCTATTTATCTTTTTTGATAATGTCTTTTTTACTTGATGTTTTCCAATTCTGACAACACATTTTCAGAATTACAGGAGTTATTTCGTTGTTAAGCACTTTAGTTTAGGTTGACTGGCGGCGCACATTTATCACCACCGATATCAATCCGTATTATGACTCATTTGTTTGCTGGCAATTTCGGAAGCTTCGCGAAGCAGAAAAAGTGAACTTTGGTAAACGTTACACTATATATTCACCGAAAGATGGACAACCCTGTATGGATCATGATCGGTCCAGTGGCGAAGGCGTTGGGCCACAAGAATATGTGCTTATAAAAATGAAGGTACGTTTTGTTTTGCTTTGCATTCTCTCTGTGTGTGTGTTTTTACACTCACTTTGTGATTTTTATGGACATCTACAGGTTCTCGATCCGTTGCCGGAACGATTGGCAAGTGCTGGGAAAAACGTTTTCCTTGTAGCTGCAACGCTCCGACCAGAAACAATGTAC